CAAGTAGTTCAAAGAGTTGAAAATAATGAGATTGAAAATATATGCGCAGGGGACCCTTAAAAAGCAAGTTCATCAATTTTTTGTTGAATGAGAAGAAATAGATGTATTTGTTCATAGGTTAAGCAGGACAAACGAGAAAATATATGGTAAATATAATTGGCTAATCCATGAAATCAAAAAAATAAAGCACAAAAATGATAGCATCACCAAATCACAATTCTTCCATTCTGAAGAAAGAGGCATTGTAAACATAATGATATCGAAGTTAATCCAAACAACAATAAGAAAGCAGATATTATTACTGAAAAGGCCAATAATCGATTACAACCACACAAGAAAATGGGAAATAATAACACGATGCATAACATGCGCTAAGGGTTGGATCCAGGGTAGTCGAGGCGGTTGGTTAGTGTTAGGGAGGTGGCGGGATGATAAATTAAGTGGTCGACAAGCATAAAACAGAAAAGTACAGTTTCCTGGTGACGCGGGGCTAAGCGCACCGGCCGACTCAACAGGCTGGGAACAAATCCCGCAATGCAGACCCAGTCCAGTGGAATAGGCGGGATTTATACGAGGCAGGACTACCAGTGCTTCTACTTCCCACCCCTTTCCTTTGTGTGGGAGAATCTTTTTCTATTCCTTTCATTTTTTTCTCAATATGGGAGTCTACAAATTATTATTTTCTAGATGTCAGGTTTAGTTTTCCTTTTGTTTTGTTTCAGAATTCTTTTTAGAGTGTTCTCCTCTCTCTGCTAGGATTGTATCCGACGACGGATGGTGCTTCGGTTGTATCCTGCACCAAGGTGGAGTTTATCCTTTCCAATCTCCTCTCCTCTCCTCAAACCTCCCTAAACCTTCTAGCCACCATTTTTTCCCACAAGACCTTTCGACAACCTTTTTCAACATTTGTCGCACTTTCCCAACATTTGCCCCTTGTCGTCCAGCTCTACCACTTCATCCAGTTACCCTGCCACCCCTTCCTCCTAGTCGTAGCCTACTATCCATCCTTTCCCCCTCCGCTTTCCTAGCCGCCAGCCTCCCCGCCTCATCCAGGCACCCTGTCGCCAACTTCTCTTAACTATAACTTGTTGTACAGCCCTCCCCACCGACCCAGTCGGCCTTCCTATTGTCCAGCTCGTTCTCCATCAACCAACACCCTTCTAACCTACCCTACAACCTCAATATTTGTCCTTTCCCCTTAGCTTTTTACTGACGCCACCAGCGCCCTTTAAATTTATCTTCTGGGTCTAGCCTGAGATTGTTTGTTATTGTATTTCCCCTTTCTATTTGTTGTGTGTTGTAACCATATTTCAATATTAATAAAATTTTGCTTTTTGTGTTTCCGCTGAGTTCCTAACTAGTTCTGGTATCACTCGGGTTCTGTACAACAAGCACACGCAGCAAGTATCGATGTGGACCAGTGTTCTTGGATGATGGCAGCAAGAGGGAAGGGTATGGGGGCAAGTTAAAGAGGTGGAAGTGCGAGGGAAGGGAAGGAGAGGAAGCTGGCAAGGACGGGAAAGGCAGGCACAGCCGGAACGTTGCAGCGGTGGTTGTCTTGGCGGCTGGAACAACTGCAAGACTAAAAGGAGGAAGGCCTTTGACAACTGGAACAATAGGGAATAACTGTTCAGAGCGGCAGCAGTTTGGGGGAATAACAGCAAGGGTGACGAGTAAGCAGATTTTCCAGTGAGGCGGCAACAAGTCGGAAGGGGAGGAGCACTGAGGATGGAAAAAATGAGGGTAAATATAACTTCAAAAGAGAAATACAGTCGGAACACCACTCGACCCTTGAAGGAGAATCACCACCTCGGAACGGGATACAACCAAAGCACGGCTCGCCCTTGAAATCAACCTGAGAAGGGAAAACATGGAGACATTGATGGTTATCCTGACAGAAAAATCACAAAAACTAACCCGAGAATCCTTCGAAAGCAAATATATAATAATACGTAACTAAAAGTGGTTCAACATAATTGGCAACTCCTCAACAAGTACAAAACTTGGACCTATTCGATTCAGATACAACAGACGGTTCGTTGCATTGTTCATGGGACTCCCTCGTCTAGAGCAGGGGGCACTTCTACATCAATCTAGCGAGATTGGGGGAGCTTTGACATCATCCGTCAAAGCTTCTATCCCATCCTAATAGTCAAGTAGGTCCCATTGAAGGTTGAAGAAATGTTGTGAGCTCCCTGTACATCAATCATGTAGGCATTGTCATTTCAAAACACATGCTAATAAAACAAGTATCTACTCAATGTAGGCATATAACTTGAGCTGAAGATACATATCGGCGTAGCTTCTCACAAGCCGAATCTAGAGTAATTAAAATTATAATTAGCTTCTTACACTCCTCGTACTCGTCCGAGTGTATTTGGTAAACATGTAAAGAGGAATCAACTTTTGGGCGAAATCTGTCAGGTTGGATCACGTTGAAGTGTAACCATTCAAGAGATCTCTATTCTTCTTCGTTGAAAGGAAATAAATCTCATTATAGATGTTCTTTCCCTCAAAGATCATACGGCAATTTCCGAAGTTATGGTTCATCCATCCTATCTGAATATGTCGGTGGGCACAATGTTGAACTGATTTTAACACCTAAATGCCTTTATATACTATTCAAGAAGTGGTGCAAAAGAGTCTCATCTCTGACATGTTGGACCTCCATCAATAGAAGCAAATTAGGAAGTAGACTATATATCTGAAAAGACTCAAATTCTCTTATCTGAGGTTGACATATGTCAGGTGTCGGTTACTCTCACTTAAGACGGTCTTGAACCACCAAGGTTAATTTAGTTGGAGTCTTTTCATGGGCTCAGCTTGAATTACATGCATTTATCCCTCATCAATTGGACTCTAATATTCCTCACTGGTATCATTACCTTTTTCAGTATCTACGGTGTCATTAATCATTTCTTCAACTACTCTCTGCTTACTAAAAGAGATCATTCTCCTGCTTGGGTAATCCGATAGAATGTGCCAAAAACTATGGCATTTGGTGCACTTCCTCTCAGAGATGGATTTGGAAATGTTATTTGGCTTCACCTGTTCTCCACTCTGAACCAATTTTTCCTTAAGTGGGGTCGGCTTGAATGTTTCCCTGGGTGTACTCGAGTTGCTTGATCCTCTATCTGTGAGATATCTGAAGATGTTGTCTCTCCACTTCTAAAACTAGGGTCTAAACATCGTGGTTGTAAAAAACTTGTAAGTATTGGCATTACATCTCTTGTTTCATCTTCGACCAGGTCATAATTTTTTCTTCCCTTCACTGTCAAATCATCTTCAAGTTCTCCCACAAAAAGATGCATTCTTCTTTACCTTGTTGACGGCTAGTTTACCATTTTATCCGATGAGACATACTGGTACTCAAAAGACATTCAATTGTTCAGGATCACTCAATGAACTCATTTGGATCCATATGACCGTCAAAATATGACAAATTCACTTTTACTTTAAAATCTTAGATTCTCTGATATTTCATGTTAAGACTTCAGGTAGTGATACTTCATCTCTCAAACAAGTCAGGTGAAGAGATTCATTGTAATCATTTGATCTAGCAAGTCGCTATTGTGGCCATAAGTGACCCTTCTAAATTGCCTCCTTTCAAAGGCGGCAAGTCTCTAGTGTAGTTGTAGAATTTTGAGACTTACATCCTCTATAGAAGAAGGTACCCAGACATCTCTTTGTGGTTTCCTCATAAACGATATTATGGCATTTCCTTCCGAAAAGGTCTTCGATAATTGTCTCTTCAGTGGCGTGGTTAGGGTTTAAGTTTAAATAGGTAGAAGAGGGTGTATAGGGATGATGTAAAGTGGGAAAGAAAATTCTTGGGCGGTTAGTAAAGCGAACGGTTTTAGGAGGAGAGGTTTGGGCATTGGCAGATGCTAGAAATCCTAGAATAATACTAGGGATATGCTAGCTTTGATATCAAATGATACCAGAGTTATAACCCAAACAACTATAGAAAAGCAAGTATTATTACTGAAAAAGTCAATAGGTGATTACAACCAACACAAAAACAAAAAATAACAACAATAAGACACACCGCACGTGACTTGGGTTAGATCCAGGGTGGTCAAGGAGGTCGGTGAGGGTTTGGAAGGTGTCAGATGATGGACGAAGTGATCGGAAGCAGAAAACAAAAAAAATACGGTTTTTCAGGTTCCGAACAGCAAGCACACAACAGATATCGACACAGAATGGCGGTTCGGATGATGGCAGCAGGAGGGCAAGGTATGGGGGCAGGTTCTGGTGGTGGCAGAACTTGAGAAGGGGAGGAGTGGTGGCTGGGAAGGCCGGGAAAGGCAAGATCAGCCATAATTTTGCGGAGGGGGCTGTCCTGGCAGCTGGAACAACTACAGGACTGCATGGAGGAAGGTCCTGAACGGCTGGAACAGTAGCAAAACAACCATAAACAATTGCTTGGGGCTGCAGCGAGGGGGAATAAGAGCGGCAGCGATGGGGCACGTGGGATTTCTGGGAATGTGGCAGCAAGTCAAAGGGAGAAATGCAGAGGATAGAAAATTAAAGGATTAATACCACCTCGAGAGGATCACCACCACTGAACAAAATACAGTCAGAGTATCACTCGCCCTTGGATACAGCCCTAGAAGGAAAAATTTGGAGACGCCGATGGCTGTCCAGACAGAATACGCACAAAAACTAATACTAGTCTCCTACAAAAGCAAATATATATTAATACGATAATTAGTAGTGGCCCAAGAGGACCGGCCGAGTACTTAACAAAAACAAAACTTGAACCGGTTCGGTCTAGATATAGCAGCCAGGTCACTGTTTTGTTCACGGACTCCCACTTCGGGCACTCCTGCATCACATAATGACCTAATATTTGACTAAAGGAGATAACATTATTAACATATGCTTTAGAAAATAATCAACCATCAGAAATGCAGGTGAAATGCCTGCTTGAAACTATAGTGAACTCAAAAAATGTGTATCGAAGGAAACTACCAACAAGTAATAGAAAGTGCTCTTACTTTTGTAATCTTTTCCAGATCATCTCTTCCTCCGTCAGTGATGTCATTCCCAAACACAAGTCTTTCAGCACATCGGCCACCATGTGCAACCACCATTTGCATTTTTAAGTAACCAAAGGTGGTATAACCTTGATCCACCATTTCTTCTCTAGGATAGAAAACAGAAATTGCAGTTTCCTGCACCGGTGGATACTTCTACGTAAGGTGACTTAGAAAAAAATTTTTGTATAGAATTTTTGAAAAGAAAAGCGAGTTTAAATACTAATCAAACTTGCTTAGGGGAATAACATGCACAACAAAATATAACATAAGATCACATTGCTGCACCTTGCCGCCAGGAAGTAGCTGGGAGAATGCATGCCAATCAAACCGAGGGAAAAGATGAGCCAACAGTATGTGACCAGCCTCATGCACAGCTAACAGTCTTTTTGTATTGAGCGATACCTAACATTAACATAATTAAAAAAAAACAACCTTTAACATTAACATTAGAAAATATTATGGATGTATACCACTTGTAATTTAAAAAGAAGAGATAACATACACTAGCTTCACATTTTTGTTGCTCTTCCTCTGTAAGAAGCACACCCATGCCCTCCAGTAACTGTTTATCAAGGGCATCAACTATATCTTGTTGGGAGATCAAAGAGTGGTTTTTCCTTACCTGGTAAGCATTTTCAATTGTACATTAGCCAACCAAGAACTAATAAACAAAAATCACTACACAAAAAGCCAGACACGATTACATACATCTGTAAAAATACACATAAGAAGGACAAGAATCAAAAGACACAAAACATGGCTTCATAACAAATAAAAAGAGAAAACTATTCTACACAACTGAAAAAAATTAAATGAATGCTTCAAAATGCCAGAATTATATGGTTGCAATATAGTGTGCATTACAAATACGCATGAAAATTGAAAACTGCCAAGAGATTCACATACATCACAACAAATTCCATGCTGTTAGATATGAAACATCTAAATCTTCCTATTTATGCCCATGCTATCTAATCTTCTAAATACCACAAGCCTACTACTAGTCTGTCACCCCATCACGACGGTTATTTTTCTTAGTATGTTTTAAGCCTGGCCAAATACGATGAAAATTGAAAACTGCCAAGAGATTCACATACATCACAACAAATTCCATGCTGTTAGATATGAAACATCTAAATCTTCCAATTTATGCCCATGCTATCTAATCTTCTAAATACCACAAGCCTAATACTAGTTTGTCACCCCATCATGACGGTTATTTTTCTTAGCCTGTTTTAAGCCTGGCCAAAAACTCAATATTGTTCAACTCGCAACATCTCCTTAAATGTCAGTCACAAGAGTTCTAGGTTTACTAACCTATAACGTTCAAGGGAAAAAAAATAAAATCCATGGGTTGATCAGCTCGTATTCATCAAATTATCAAAAACTAAAAGATTTACGATGTACCTAAACAAATTTATTGGATAATTCCTTTCAGTCAAAAGGAAAAAAAGAAAAAACATAAAACTACTATGATACTATAAAGAAATCTCTGAAGAGCAAGGAGCGTATTGTAAAAGAACATCGCATAATAACAACAACGAGAATAAGAAGGTCGTCAGAGAATACCTGATGCACGCATTCCTTAAGGAATAGGAGGAGACCACTGCTTTCACAAAGGAGTAAACCAATGAAAACAGTGCACTATTGGTGACACCGTTCTAGTTTGTCGAGAAGGTGTTTGGGATAGGGGTATATCAAGATAGGTGGTTGTGAAATAGTAAAAGAATGATGATATATGAGGTTGATGGCATTTGGAAGGGGACATAAGACGTTCAACGGTTATCCGGGATGAAAACAACAATGAGAATCACAAAAAGACGAGGAGATACTGCCAATCGTTCTTAAACAAAATATAGGCATGTCACTTACAAAAGGAAGATGATACATACTCCTTAGTTCTAGGTTTGCTAACCTATAACGTTCAAGGGAAAAAGTAAAATTTATGGGTTGATCAACTCATATTCACCAAATTATCAAAAACTAAAAGATTTACAACAAACAATATAGATAAAAAAATTTCTTGGATAATTCCTTCCAGTCAAAAGGAAAAAAAAAAGAATAAGCATAAAACTACTACGGTACTATATAGAAATCCCTAAAAAGCAAGAAGTGTATTGCAAAAGAATATCACACAACAATGAGAATAAGAAGGCCGATAGAGAATATCTATGTATGTATTCCTAGAAGGAATAGGAGAAGACCAATGCTTTTCACAAAGGAGTAAACCAATGAAAATATTGAACTATTGGTGACACCATTCTAAGTTTCCTAGAAGGTGTTTAGGAAGGGGGTATGGCAAGAAAAGTTGTTGTGAAATAGCAAGGGAATGATGCTATGTGAGGTTGATGGCATTTGGAAGGGGACAGTTCGACAGTTGTTCGGGCTGAAAACAACAGAGAGAATCACGAAACGGCGAGGAGATTCTTCCAATTGTTCCAAAACAAGATTTAAGCACACCACTTGCAAAAGGAATATGATACAACACTCCTTGAACAATAAATTCAGAGAATACACTCTCCAAAATACATAAAACAAAACAAAAGGCCTCGAACCATATCTAAAACAATATAGTTATACTAAGATATAAATTAAACAATAATTAGAAGCAAAACATAAGGAACAAGGGTCCAAAGAGCCCGCAATAGTGAAAATACGGGATATTTCCCACTACAAGATCAACCTACCATGACTCCCGAACTCACGGAATCTTGATATTTCAGAATTTTCTTTCCCCATTGGATAAAGGTGAATGTAGGTAGGGCTTTACTTTTATCTCACAAGGCTGGATTGGGAATCGTTATATGTGAGGAGACTCGTTGTTGCTTATTAGTTGCAGGCACTCATTCAGAGCATTTGGATAATGCCCAAGTGGAGTTAGCGGTCGTACCTTTAATCAAAAACAACTTGGAGTCATAGATGTTTGAGATGAAAAGAATCATTATTGAAGGGGACAATAACAATGTGATTGATTTCCTAAAATAGTGCATGGTGAAAAAAAAAGTTAAAACATATATCCATAGGCCAACACTAAGATGCTTTCTCTCATATCAAATAGGTATTATTTTATTTTAATTATAGGAATATAACAATCCTGCCCATTTTTTTGCACAAGAAAGTTTTTTGTTGGTACATATAGAAGAATCATACAATCTATTTACTCTTCCTAGAGAGGATAGGTTTCACATTGTACGTGCTAAGTAGCATTATTTTTTACTTTTACTTTGATATTTTAATATAAAGCTACATACATCCTTTCAAGGGTAAAAGAGGTTTTGTTTTCACCTCTAGAGGCTGTTGGATCCTCATAATAGGCGAGAAATCAACTTGTACACATTCGATCCTCTACATATAGGAATAGAATTAAAAAAGTTTTGTAATTAAGAAAAGATTTAAATGAAATTATGCATGAGATCCGACTTAAGCAACAAGCAGTCAACAAGATTCAAAGAAATAGAATAACTTACCCATAAGATGGTTGTGCTTTACTTAACATCTTAACTAAAAGAGTTTTCTTACAAAGTAAAACTCCTGATTTCAAAATATAAATGTTTTAGATATTAATCTATGTAAAAAAATAAAAAAACTACGATGACAATGTCCATGTTAGAAAAAAGAAACCTAAGTAGAGGGGATTCTATCTTCAAAATATCTTCAAATCTCAACACTACTAATTTCAAGTTTATATCAAGGTTATAAAATAAAAATTATGACAAGAAAAGAAAAAAAAAATCTAATATCTAAAAGCTAGAGCTGACAGAAAACATTCATACTCCACAACTGTATGTCAAAAAGATGACAATTTTAAAATTAAACTCAACTCATAAAGAGCTAATAATAAATCAAGCATAATTTTATGATCACTCTTAAAAATCTAATGTTAAGTAAAAAAGGCACGAGTCATCCAATCACGTGATTTTATTGCCAAATAGCACCACAACAATAAAATGTTATGACAAGCGGTTTATCACAAAAAAGCATCATTAAATTTTAGTTGAAGCCAAAACCCATAAGTTCCCTAATAAGCTTAAATCCTCCTCACCAAAGAATTATAAAGTGATTTGATAAAGCATGAAACTCTCCATTAGTTAAGGTAGATTTAAAGTTATCCTTTCATACAAGCATTCACCCCATGTCAATAAAAACTCCTTAATTGATACAACTCATAGTTATTGATCTCAATATATATTTCACAAGTCAAATCGATTTAATGTAAGATGGATGGTGAACGATGAATATAACGATTCATAAATAAAGCAAGTTCGCTTCAAACACTGTAGAGGCTATCAAGATGAATGTGGTTCATAAAATGAATATGTCAAAATTACCTAAAAATGGTCCTTCCATGATCAAACAATCAAGAACAATGAAAACAATAGATTTCTGGCATGACTATACAATTCGGACCTGAACCTCCTCAATTGTCGCTAAAGTCACCTAAAATGATCTCCAATCACAAAATGGATAGTACAAGAGCGTCTGAAATGTCAAAAGTATTTAAGAAAGAGTATTCTCCGATCAAAAAAAGAAAGTGCGATGTAACGACAAGTCGCTCATGCAATGCGTAATTTTGACCCTAACCACCTCGACCGATGTTGAAGTCATCGAATCGACCTACGATGGAAAAACAGACTACACGAGCGTGTCCAAAATGTCGACTTTCCCTAAGAAGACACCCATATCGCATATGTTTCATTTGCAAATTATTAACACATAATTCGAGGCAATGATACACATTTAAATACTTAAAATTTAAAGTAAATTTCAATCTTTTCCATCCACAACAAACCACCGCGCAATCCCATAAGTTGTCCATGCCTCCAACTCCTTTCCATCCAATAGAAGCAATCCACCTCATCTAAGAAAAAATTTTAAAAAAAATGAAACTAAAATAAAAAATACCTAATCTAAAGAGAAGAGGGGCTACCTCATCCCAACCCATGCACATACTTCTCTCCATTCTCTCTAGCCCCCAACTTCATTCCTTGCTCCTCCCGTGCAACTACAGACTAGAGTCATCTCTCTGCCTCCTTCACTCACGCCGCAGGCTCCTACTCTGCCTGCCAGTCAATGCAACCCTCTTCCTCCCAGCTCCTCCCTGTTACATCTCTATGTCGCAGCTTCTCTCTTCATTCCTCTCATCATGAAGCCTCTCTCTCGCCAATAGCCCGCACCAAAAAGTTGCCATCATGCGACCCCTCCCTCACAAGGATGCACGTAGGCCAAGAAAATTGGCTCCTCTCATTCTCCAATATTATGGAACACACAAATCATCCCTCTCATAGCAGCTCACTGTTTGAACTCCGGCTGTCCCTATTCCCACATTCCAGCCACTCCACAGTCACCATTGTTGCCTTCTAAAAGCTCCAACAACACTCTGGCCGTCAATGCACTCTCTCCGGCAACCCCCTCACCTATCTCGTGCTCCTCTCCCTACTACAAACAACCCACGTGCAAATTTCCCAACCCAGACAACTTTTTCTCCTATCCACACACGCTAGCAAAGCCTCTTCGCTGCAAGCAACATCAAACATGCCTCCCACTTACAACTTTCGGCAATTCAACAAATTAAGGTAAAATGAGGAAAAAATGGGATTTGGTATCCTATGGTACTTTTTCTCT